TCAGAGAAATCCGATGCCATCGAGAGTTGATTAAGGCCTGGATCAGTTAATTAATGCCTAATTAATACTTTAGTAAACATTTCAGACCTAAAGAAAGACCTGCAATAGGCATATTCAGCTCTTGCATAATGCATGTTTAAGTTAAGCTGGTTTTAAAAAGCCATCAATTGTTAACATGTCGTCTGAACACAAAGATGGGGCAAAAGTGTACTCAAGAAGGCTTTTTCTTTTTTCTTGGTCACCTGAATGGGTTGGCTTAAAATTGCCTGCTGTACCTAGATTTGGGCCTGTGCATAAAATTACTTTGAAGAGAAAAGTTTTAGTGGAATATATATGCTTGTGTAATTAACGGTGACTTTGACTCCCACTACTGTAATGCATATAATGTCATTAATGTCATATTACTCAATAATAGAGGGGAGGGCACATCTTCATGGTATTTTAGTTGATTAAGTCAGTATTAGAACATTTTGACAGCCCAATGCCCCCCCCCTCCCCACATTAAATTTGCCAGTGATGTCATATTAATAGCATGACACATTGTACATAGCTTGCGGCATGCATACTACCCTAGTAGAACTGGGTTGAAATTACCGGTACACTGTATATGCTGTCTACCATATCCTGGAAAGCTTCTTCAAGACCAGACAAATTTAGCTATTATATTCAAAAGAAATCATATTCCTTTACTTTAAGAGAAATGAAATGGGGTTTAACGTCCTACTGTTCTGCTCCTATACTGGGCTAATGAAGACGGGCATACGCCATACAGTGTGCGATGAGGGAAATTTTGCCCGGACAGCGGCACTATCGCCTACTCTTATATCGAATTCCAACTGCCAAGGGATCTTTTACATGCATTCCAATGTATACACGGGACCTCGGTTTTTCATCCCATCCGAAGGACTAGACAGCTGTCCTTGTCAGGCCTTCCGTCCTGCATCCCTGACAAGGGGGGAACCACGTCGGAAAATTTACAAAAATAATATGGCAGGTTTCTACTTAGGAGGACTGGGCTTGGATTCACAGTTTCACACCACATGTATAACATCTCTTCTGCCTAGCACAGGCATAAAATTGAATATGGAATGGTTTAATTTGAGTTTATATGAAGAAAAAGTTCAGAAAACAGTGCATTCATTTCTTCAGTGTCAAAGATAGGTTGCCAGGCAACAAAACATACGCCCACAGCAGCTAAGTCGTCCGAGCAGTCAACAAGAGTTGTCGCATATTTTTTTCTATTGTCGGTAATGGAACATTTATAATACACTAAAATCTGATTAGGAGTAACAACTTGTTAAGTAATTATCAGAAAACCATTAGAATTTCTTTGGCTTTTAGTTCTGCCCCATACTAACTTTTCATATATACGAATCATTTAATATCATGCATTTAGCTGTTCAAGTTATCAAAATTCATTGAAAATCGATATACCTTAAACTCTGTGTATAAATCTAAAGTCAATCGGATGATACTATGGTCTCTAGAGCACCTGCAAGATTTTTCAAAGTGATCAAGGGCAGCAATTATCGGATATCGTTGGAAATCAATAGGATTCTTCATCTCATGACCTTAAACACTGTATAAATTTAAAGTCAATTAGGTGTTAACTTTAGCTTCAAGAGCATCCATAAGCAATTGTGGATGCCGGACGAATGGCAATATACAACCACATTTTAATGTGGGCGTATAATACAAAGGTTTGGACTAAAATATTTAGGATATTCAGAAAATAATCCTAGGTAGGTGATAGCAAGCAATGTTATAATTTATTTGCTACCACCAAATGGCGATATGACATTCAATTCACAAGAGAGAATTTGTCGAGACAGTTTGCTGTAAAGGGCACAAGATCACCACAGTGTAGAGTGTGGAGTGGTATGTTACATCTTTCATAAACCTGTAGCATATGATGTTCTCCTAAATTTATTTAGAAATGTAAATTAGATTATTTTTCACACATTTAAAACGTTTTGGGGTAAATATGTGGGAACACAGCACTAGTTACATGATTACACAGTTGTTTGTTGTTTTAAACAAATGACCAAAATACATATACATGTACATATAAACAGGTGTTGCTAACAAGTAAAGTTTTCATAAACAAGAGAGAGATAAATGGGCTTTAAAGGTAGTTTTACCAAGTTGTATATTGTTCCAAATTGATCAATCATAACGTAACCATCTGTAGTACACATTACTTCTTACGTCCGACAGAGAGAGCAAGAGAGAAATGGGGTTTAACGTCCACACGATTTACAACGGGTCATTTTGGGACTAACATTTTGATCTCCACAGGATTGTCTTTTTTGTGTTGTTATTCATATTTTTAATACATGTCCGACACAAATTTCAAAATGTGAGGTACATGTAGTCCATTAGTTCCTGCCATTTAGTCAGGTACAACTAAATAGCAAGTGGAGGAGGATTGCACCCCACAGAAACAAAACCCATAAGACAAACATGTGGACAAGACAATATTTTAAAGCCTACTACAAAATCAGGCTCTGGTGTCTGACATTTTGTCCGGGCACAGATTTTTTTTTTTTTTTTTTTTTTTTTTAAATTTTTATTGATATTTCTAATCCAATATATGTACATGTCCAACACAAATTTTAAAATGTCACATTTCGGTACGAGTCGATTAGTGCCCAGCATTTTGTCAGGTAGAACTAAAATCATCATTTCTATCAAATCAATACTGAATAGACAATAAATAGTCAAGGTAAAGATCACATCATCACTTCTGGAATTATTTCTTTGATGTTAACCTACCATATGATAGATATATACATGTATATAACAAGACTGACTGACTCGCTTAAATAACAGTCTAACATCTTATACAATATTACCATTAAACACACCTGGCAGGCCGTTTGTTGAAACCAACAACTCAAGTCATAACTTGAGAACCCGAAGTTAAAGTAAAGTAGTTATACTTCAAATCTCCCATAATGCTTAAGAAGTAAAAGATTTAACCTTTTCTATTTTACCAGCAATATCACAAAACAGACAAATTTAAAAAAAAAAAATTAGGATCTTTTATTGAAAGGTGACACGGTACGAACATTTGTTGTGTGAAATCTGATTCCAAAGTGGTGTTTTGGATCTTGTATGAAGTGTTTTTAACTTGTGATATTAAGATTCCTGCAGGCATTAAAACTTGTATAATGTCGTCTGACACTGAGAGAAATGCATTACACACAGATGTACAACATATAAATTTCATTTACGTTGTAAAACACTGCTCCAGATCTTGTTATAGGCCCTACTTAGCACATATTCCTGGGGCAAGATTTTTCAATGTGGTTTCCCCTTGTTAATGGTGCAGGACAGTGGCTTGCACGTAACAAGAACCATTGATTGTTGGAATTCTATAAACTGTATCCTGGTTGGTGCAGAAAGTAGGATGTTAACCTCTATTTCATTTCTATCTAAATGTTATAATTTGTGGTTGAAAATTTTTAAACTTAGATAGGTTTCTAAATAACAAATAAATGAACAATCCCCATAAAATGGAAAATTTGAATCGGAAAACAATCTGATTTAGAACTACAGGGCTCAACAAAAATGGCAGATCAAAGAATGACATACAAAGTTCCTTAATATTCTACAGTCACATTAATTTTTGGGCGAATGTTTTTAAGACTAAAGTGCATTATTTTGTGACACAAAAGCATCACATTTTCAGTTTTTTTAACCTTCTGATCTAGTTTTGGAGGCAATCTGAAAAAAGTTCACGATTTGGTTATTTGATTAATTCTTATGAGGTAACTTTTCATGTGGGGTGTATTGTTTGAAAGTATTTTGGCATGTTAGATTGACAGTAAATATTTACTGCGTTATAAGTCACCCACTCAATAGTAAGTTATACCACTTATCACCAAAATCTTTTTAAAAGAGCTAAACCTCTATTCTTTGGAACCTAGAATGGATGGATATGGGTCAATAGGTACATTTTAATGTAATGTGAGTGCATACATGTATATACTTTTATTTTAATTTCTAATCAATTTTGTTTGTCGAAATAAGCCAGCAGTAAAAATTGAATGGTAGTCACTCATGCCTGGTTAGTCCAGTCTACATCGAAAGTACAGTTTGACATTTTATTTACGCACTGATGTTTTGATTCGTTCATCATGGCACCTCATTACAAATGGCACTTAAATATTGGATTAGGATCCCACATATTCACGAAAAGATAATATCACCGTTGATTGGAATGGACGAATAAATGTTGTTTTCAATGTTGAAGACTCTGGATAATAATGAGTTAGAGCTTTTCCAGAAGAACTAAAAGAAGATAACATTTGATTGTTTAGGACTGAGGTTCTTTCCCACGTAGGTCAGTAAGGACTTTTAACATTTATCATTCAGGAAGTTCAAGTTTAAAGGGTTAAAAGCTGATATACATGTTACATGTAGTTTATTTCGCAAGCCTCTCATGAAAACATTGTATCTTTTATCTTTGTCTTAATGACTCCCTTCATTTAATGTTTTCATACAATTTATATTTTTTCATTAAAGAGACATTCTAGCTTTGGAGATATTTGCCATTCACTAAAAACAAAACTATTGGAATTTGACTATTTAGTTACTTTGGGTTGTTCAAATCATATTTTATGAATCATTACAAATCGATTCTACACAACGATAGTGGTGTCCCTACACAACGATAGTGGTGTTCAAGGAGTTCAGCGAATGCTCATGCAAAATGTAGACCAGAGATTTGATTTTTGATAAGTTGTGGAAAGTTTAAATTTTTGATGTTGTGGGTCTGGTGTTATAATATTAACATTTATTTTCTTGTCGAAATAGATATTCATCTTCGTAACTGAATAAAGATTTACAGACATTATATTCGTATACACTGTTTAAAACATATTATATACAACGGGTAAATACAGACCATGGTATATACATGTAACTGTACTTACGTTTATAATGCCAGTGTGAATGAGTTTAGAAAGGATATTCAAGACGTCAGTTCCTCTTACCTTGGAGCATTTGCTCGAGTTTCTTTCGATCCACCCGAAATCTATCTTCGACGAAATTCGGATCTCGTTCAATATATTCATCTCGACTTCCTTGGGAAGCTGTGTCACATATATCTCCATTATTTTCATTAATATACTGCGATTCCCTCATGCTGCCAACATGCATGGTAAGGCATTCCGCCATAGCATAGTTGTTGTCATGTGGAAACGAGGCTTTGTAATGGTAAGTAGGACAAGAAACTCGCGCAATATGGGGCTCACTTGGGGTTACCCGACTCATTCATGCCAAATACAACATCGCACTTCTCTCCCTAGATAACAAACCTTAATCTCTCAACCCTCCGTGTAACCCATCAGTATATCTCAACGTTTTTAGCTACGTTCTCGTAGCTATTCTCTCCCCACAGACTTTATGAATCATTTATTTTTGATAAGACAAGATTGAAATTATCTATGCGAATGAAAATAATAGATAGTCTTTCCTCGGGCGATCAGATTTTTGTATAAAAATCGATTTTCAAGAGAGCATTTTAATTGTCTTTAATATTTACCTAAGCTAGCCTCCAATGTGTAAAGTTGGTAGTCAATACATCATCAATTATATTTATCAATGTAAAACTTTATTATTAAAGGGATGTTATGTCACTAGGTAACCACAACAAACACTTATCGTTTCCATCCATAATAGGTACAGCTCATAAGATCGAATTCCATCTACTCAAGAGACAATACGGCTTTATTATCATTTTAATGGCACGTGCTCAATGTGGGAGAGGGAGACGCGTTGGCTCAGTGAGTAATTAGACACAGGCTCGCTATACCAGGTCTTGGGTTCGCTCTCGGTCCTCGGGATTTTCCGGCTGCGTTTCCTCTTGTCAGTGATGCAGGGCGAAGGGCCTGACAAGGACATCATCTAGTCATTCGGATCGGATGAAAAACGAGGTCCCATGTGCAGGTAAAAGATCCCTTGATAGTTGGAATTCGAAATATCCCTCATAACGCCCATCTTCATTATACTATAATTATACTGTACATAATTGAACATGCATAAATTATTGATTTAAAAATTCAGTACATGCAATACTCTTGAATAATGTCCATTGTTTATCTATTTATAACGTCATTTACTGTAAACAAACGTTAATGTTGGTTGTCAACCAAGTCAATAATTAGCGTTTTCATACGCTGTATTTGAGAAATGTGGAGGTTTGTAAGTTTTGTTCGACACTAAACGGGTAATGTATACAGTAATCATTGAGGTAAATTCCCGACTGTTTATAGAAAAATAAAGAAGCATGCGGTGGGGGTAATACCGACGATGTCGAGATGTTGTCAAGTGAAAATCACTTTGAGATATAGAAAAAAGCATACATGTATTTAGGTAAACATCACGCTAGTAACACAAATCACAAGGTGTTCGCAACCGAAAACTCCTCCCCCATACTACTACTACTACTACTAATAATAATAATAAAAACTTTATTTAATGATGCAACTTATTTAGTTTGCAAAAACACTAATCTTCCACAAGTCCCTCCTAAGCTACAAAGACATATATAAATCATGTTGAATTTACCCTGATATTACATGTATAATACATGAAATATCAGTTTTGTGGCACAATCCAAAAAAAAGGAAAAAAAAAAGAAAAAAAGCCCCAAAACAGAACGAAGTTTAAATTAGGATCTTTTCATACTCATTTCTCACTTAGCTTGGTCCCGTGACTCAGTTTTGAACTAATTTTTTTCTAAGATTTATATTCACTGTATATTTATGTATTACTAGTGTTTTTATCACCTGTTGATAATTACATTTACCGTGTAGGTAAATAATATCGTAGCCGTCTGCCAGTCTATGGAAGCATTTCCCAAACCACCCTTCCGTACAACATTCAACGCTCTGCGAAAAAAGCGAGAAAATCGGCGCCACTAAAACAGAATACTAATTGGTTTGAAATTTGGATTCTTAAATTACAAAGTTGAGAAGAGGTGCTGTAATTGCTTTTCGTTAGTATAACTGAAGGTGCGTAGAATGTTCCCTGATAACGTTTAGAAATGGTCTATAGTGTCGTGTATAAATATAATACAAAGATGGAGCATTACGCCCATTACGGGATCATTTTTCATTAGTCCGGTTGGTGCAGAAAAGTCAGAGGCGGAGAGGGGGTCGGGGCCCTCTAGCCCCCGCCCCCACCCTAAGGTATATCCGGATATTTCTAACTTATGCACTAATTTAGCGTGTGGCAATCTCATAAATTGTACATACAACGTAAATTCAAGATTAAAAAGGACCGCCAAATGAAGAAAGGGCCCCAAACTGAGAACATTAACTTGTTTAGGGGTTCATGAGCATACCATATACTCAGTCCACCCCTGTGAAAAGTAAGACGTTAAACCCCAGTCTATAAGTGGGATACCCGAATCCAAGTTTTAATCATAATATACCAGAATCTGTTTACCATCCACACTAACTGGCATGTACTGAAATTGTTGGTACAACATTGTGGACATATTTTGAAATTGTTCCCAAAAACATGTAAACCCATTAATTATAATAAACAGCCAAAACATCCATCCTCTTGATATAAAATATAAATTTAAAAAAAATCAAGAAAAAGATTTAGAAAAAAAATATTAAATGAATGTCATTAAGTACTTTGAATTTTTACTAGCATGGATTACACTGACCCAACTTTAAACATTGTGTATTTTAAAGCTTCCGCAATTTGTATATTTACCCTGATTATGAGGGGAATAAAAGTTTAATGCTCATTTGACCCATATTATAATATTAATCTTTATAACTTAACATTCTAAACACTGTATTACAAGTGTTTACTCCTTGTCACGTATAAGCTTGGTATCGAGAACCCACGCCATGAACCCCCTATCATCTTATTCTTAGACACACGTCAGTCAACGACACAGGAGGATAATACAGAATAAAAATAACATAATCCTTATAAGACATATAGAGGTAGATTTCACAAATAAAAACCACATATGGATATACTACTTCTGAATTAGAGTTTAATTGTTATCTATATATTGCTAGCTCTCATCTCGTTAATCTCTTATAATTTTTAGTTTGATCTGCTAAATTCAAATAATTTCTAATTGTTATCAATACATTACAATCTTTCAATTTGTTAATCCTTTGTAATTGTTTATCCATATTATTACTTCTCTCATCTTGTTAATTCTTAATTAATGTTAACTATATATTGCACCACATTTTTGTGTATCGAAACGTAGCATGTTAATAAATTCAGAAGTAGTATATCCATATAAGTGTTTTTAATTTTTAATCTAAAAATAACATGTTAAATTTTACTTTGTGGATAATTCATTATTTCTATCTACGAACATCGACCTGGAGATGGTGTCTAACCTAGGTTCTTTGTTTTATTGTTATTTTATATGAAGAACACATTTCGGCAATTACGTTTGTTAAATCTAAATAAAGAAATGGATAATTGACCTTAAACTTGAGCTATACGGAGGTACAATTTACAACCGCCATAACTTCAAAGTACTGCTCATTGTTGGAGCTGGATATGGCCCATGCGTTATAAAGACAGTGGCGGATTAAGCTCCACCAAGGCCTGAGGCGGCAGTTGCTGGAGGGCCTATTTATTTTTTAAAGTTAGAGCCAAGGTAGTTGCTAACATTAAAAACGTAATGTAATTTTATATGCCCATATATGACGTCACGTGGATACAATATATTAAGCAAGACATAACCGAAAACTTACAAGGATTTAGCGTACATTGTAGGCCTACGTTTAAAAAATAAGATCAGATCTCCAAACAATAGGGCCTATTTAAAATGGCGTGGGCCTAATTAATTTCGGGTCAGGGCCTATGTTGATTCCCGTTGGGCCTAAACCCCACCCCCTAACATTCATTGTCTATGCGTTTTTAATCGTATCAGACAAGTCTAAAAAAATTTGTTTTACAAAATCTTTGGGCCTGAGGCTGCAGCCTCACTGATAATCCGCTACTGGATAAAGATATTATTTTTACTATAGACACAGATTCTGTTTGGAATATGCAGACATGAAGTTCACGTGTACATGCAAATTGATCCCCATTTTTTATGAATATAACGGCTACTCCAATTTTTAAACTAATGAACACATATTGGCAAATTATTTGGTTCCGACGGCCAAGAGTTGTAGATCTATCCAGATTCCTTGCGAATTTATAATTTGAAGTTATCGAATGGCAACACAATTTATGTTTCCTGATTTAGCTTTAGTTTTCTTGTCATCTTTGGACGAATTACGAGAGGATCGGAACAATGTGTGTTTTTGAGAGGGGGCCATGATTAATAAAATTTTATATGTATGTTTATTACATCGGTAAATACGTTGTGAATATAATTTAATATTTTAATGCCTCTGGACAATTCTGCACATCAAACAACTAGCTCATGAAACACAATGACCACATAACGTTGGTCTAATAATAAGTAAACTACGAAGAGATAATACGGATTTCATTATATAAAATAAATACCCTAAAATATATTTCTGATGGATCCAGTTGAAAGTGCGTCTTTATTAAAGCCAAGCATGTATAAAGGGAGACAAATCCATTTACAAAAAAAACCCAAACAAACAAACAAAAAAGTGACTCATGAATGTTTGAAACTTACTGGGAAAACATTTCTTTGAGAGTAACATATGGTTCAATTTTATTTCAATAATTCACTTGCACGTAGGGGTCTTTAGCAGTGGGAGTAAACCGGAGCACCTGGGGAAAACCCACGAGGTTGGACAGGCGAACCTACTGCTCGTCATGTACAAGCACTTTTGGACTAAAATATCTGTATCTGTGTTGGAGGCATAGATATCATCAGATAGAGAAATTGGGTTTAACATCCACTAAACTAGGTTATTTTGGGATTAACATATAGTACAATTTCATACACTTAGGATTCCTCAGGACACACATTAGATGATTAGAAGTCTGCAACTGAACCCTCAGTCATAGGGTCTGTTATCTGAGAAATATGATTTGATCAATTCAGATTAGAATTTTCAAGGTAGTGAAATCAATTCTTTTATGTTTTTCCACCGACTTTTTAACCATTGAATTAATATGTTGAACTATTGTTCCGAAAATGCATTGTACAAATAAATAACAATCACATATTGCAAATCAATAACATTTTTTTTTATTATTATTATTCTCTCTCACTACATCACAGTCACTGCAAGCTGCTCACAACAACATATTTAACATATGAAAAAGTTTGAAATACAGCTTTAAACTGCTCCAGCAGATATCAATACAAGTAAATATAAATCATTCCTAGTAATCCTAGTATACAGGCCATGTTTAAAGCTAACTGAATACTGAAAAAATATCTCTCAGTTTTATGTCTCTTTAATAGAAAAAAAATAACTTTTGTTCCCCACAAATCCAACCATTTTAGATTTCATATCGGTCAGAATACAGAAAATGGGACAAAGCGATTGGATTTGTTGAAAAAAAAACAGCTTTAGTAAAATTGGAAGAGATGAATTCTCACATATATTTTCATACAATTAACCTTTGATATATCATTGTAGTATATTATCACGTCAACATAATAAACTGACACACCTATATATTGATAGTTATAAGTAATAATAATGACTGAGGCATATCTATTCATAATATATTTAATTATAGCCTCTTACGACTAGATGACTGTAAATGAAGATTACAGTAACAATATGAACAGAACATGGGCATTTCTGTTCTCAGAAATATATAATCACCACTAAGATTCTGGCCCTCAGTGCATAATAGGGGTTTGGTTTTCCACTTCTGTTCCATATTGCTTATAATGCTGGTTTGGTTTTCCACTTTCAGTAAATTTTCAAGTACATGTATCTACATTTCAAACTTCCAACTTACTTAATTGGAAAGGTTGTTCAATTCGTCACATTATATTTTTCTTCTAGTTGTTAAAGACAATGGTAACACAGAGGGAATTAAGAAACCATTTAGATAGAATAAATTGGTGAAATGCAATTAAATGGGGTTTAATATTCTACTTTTCTGCACCGAACTTGGTTAGTGAAGGAAAATTTTGTTTCTATTCTTCATGAATCATGAGGATTATGAATTTCTGTGAACTGAGACCCATATGTTCTGCCATATTACATGTAAAATCAATTAAGAACAAGAACTGCATTGTACTAAATAAGCAAAAGTTTGTATTTTAATGTATTAATAGGAAATTGTTTGTATCTTAAGAAAATACCAGCAAAACAGTTTGTATCTTTAGGCTTTCATACCCCTCATTTTGTATCTGCATAGTCAGCAAACTTCGATGTGCTTTAAAATGCTTGCAAATAATTCATTGTAACAATATAATATATTTCATCAGCCACACATCAGAACTTTTAACTTTGTTTTAATTTTTAGTTTATTTGAGCAATATAACACATAAAGCAGTCAGAAATCAATGAACTTTGATTTTGTTCTTTTTGCCACTGCAAAACAACAGAACAAAATCAAGAGAAAAATTTCATGTACAAAACGATCACATTTTCTCGTAAGATAAGATACCATTCATTAAAACAGGACAATAATCATTAATATCTAACAGTAAAGGAGGAGGCTACTTCGAGTTACGAGATCAAACATCACAATAACCAGGACTCCATATAAACAAAACATTTCTTCATTTATTTTCATGATGAATCATAGCCCTCTAGATTTAGTTAAAGGTAAATATCATCTATAAATGTTTAACAATTTGAAGTTAAAACTAAAGCCTAGCACACACTGAAGATTAACTGGTCTTTAATTAAACCTAAAAAACGAAATCTTTGTTTCTGTGATAAATTTTCAAAAACCTTTTTTTGCTTGTTTGAAAAACTGAAATCGTCCAATGTTCACTTAGCATATAGCAATTTGGCTCGACTTTTATTATTTTAACAAGAATGTGTCCCCATTATACTATTCAAAGATAATAATTGTTCTTTATGTATGTATGTTGCCTATGTATTCCATCATATAATTATAAACAAACAGTTCGACTCGTGACATTACATAAAACTAACAAAAATATCACTTATTACTTCAATAACATCAGCATCATCATACCCATCATCCATCATAATTTCATTTTGAATAAATAACAAGCATACAATTGTTACTGAAAAAATAAATTAAGTCTTACAAAATAACCAGTAACAAGTATGGAAACAATATTACATTTTTTTTTTTCTAACAATGTTTAGTTACCTTTTTTTTATTTTCAGAATTAAGTAGAGTTGAACCTACTTGATAACATCACAACACAATATCCATTACTTTTAGCCACTAATAAATATTACTTATCTTTCAATATTGTTAGTATACAGAAATTATGAACAATAACTGAATATAAAATTTATAGCAAGCTGTGTGTAAATTGTGAATAGTGTCACCAAATTAAGAGACACTATCAGTTTAAATATTTCCACCGATCGAAATGAAATGGGATTTAGAGTCAAACTTTTCTGGATCAACCATGCTAATGAACAGAGGCAAATAAAAACATGTGGTGTGCCATAATGAAAATTTTACAAGGATAGATGAGTTACTGCCTACAATTTTTGATTTATTGGGATTGACATTACAGTTAAATTTTAGACAAACTCTGCCAATTTACAACAGAGATACAGATGTTTAAAATTCACATTTAGCAGTCCCTTAGAAATCGGATCTTGTCAAATAGTTACACAAGTCTATACAATACATAACATCCGTAAGTAAATTTCTTTCCAAATAATTCCATTTTCATATTCTTTTTACTCAAGTAACATTTATTAGTGGATAGAAAAAAAAAGGTTTAAAAAAAAAAAAGATGAACATATACAAAAATAGCACTTTCTAAAGACTGTAAGTGGTAATTATTATAAGTCAACAATATAAATATTTCTGTGACTTATAATAATTGTACATTAAAATCTAGAAAAAAAAAATTACTAGAAAAAAAACTCAAGAACATATACAATGATATGTTAACTCTTATATACAAAATAATATATTAGACTAGCTAATATCTACAAAATCATTCTACATACATATATAATCAATCAGCATTCAAAATCATAGCATATGAGACTAAGATGGATAAATTAAATTCATTAGAAATGTATTAAAGAGTTTTAAAGGTCACCAGTTTAATGAAGTACAGGTCACCAGTTTAATGAAGGGCAGGTCACCAGTTTAATGAAGGGCAGGTCACCAATGAAGGGCATATCACCAGTTTAATGAAGGACAAGTCACCAGTGAAGGGCAGGTTACCGGTCACCAGTTTAATGAAGGGCTAACTGTTTTTTGGAAGCATTACATTTTAGTTTTATAAAAGAAACTAGAGTACAATTCTCAATATTTACTATAAACTTAGTATAAAGCACATTGCAGAAAAATGCCTGTGATTGATGTGTAATAACTTATTACAAAATATCTTGCTCAAGACATTTAAACTTTAATACAGACTACACTATGAAGTACTAGCATTTCTATGAAATCATCATGTGACTGTCATCTCATATGATTGGCAAAGTGTCTGTACCATAATTAATAATGGTGAGCCAACATCAAAGAATGACATCACATCTGTATTTTAAACATGCATAAATCACCGAGAAAATATCAAAATCCCTCAAGATTTATTTAACAGTTGTAACCCATGACATATTTTGGTCATTTGTCATCGAAAACTGTTAAATATAAATCATTGTATCTAATTCCAAAAAATTCAAATATCTACAATCAAGAGAATATAGAGGAAAGAACATCAGGCTAATATTGTGTGTATATTATTTTATGATGTCATGATCAACACGAACATTCTAAATACACACCAACTATTTTTACAAAATCAAAATAAGACAGTCATAAACTTATACCACATGCCCATATATCAACCCTCTATTAGTTTATATACTTAAAATATTTATTCATATGTTCTTTTCTAGAAAATTATTCACATGTATATCTAGCAGTTTTACTCAAGAAAAATTCATTAGTTGCATGTAAAAATATTTTGTTTTAAAAAAAAATCAGAAAGTAATGAATAGCCGTTTTTTAAAATTATTAGTCAACATTCACACAATATCAATGTATTTTTTTTTATTTTTTTTCTGAATATCATTTTCAATTTTATAATATATTCATGAATGGAATATGGAATATTAATTTAGGTTTATAGTTTTTCTTGAATATAAATTTAAATTTGTTAATAATATTCATGAATGGAATATACTCAGTTCGAATATCAATTTATTTTTTTACAGTTATTCATGTTGATATCAATAGGTTTTTTAAAAATGTATTCATGAATATTCAACCAATTTTTTTAATGCATTCATGAATATTAATCCAATTTTTTAATGTATTCATGAATATTAAAGGAGACAAAATGATGTAGATTATGACAAACTATCACTATTACAACAAGACATATATACCCTGTTAATAATAAACATAGAACACTGCAGGAAGACACTGTTAACAACATTAGATACCAACAGAAAATAACCTTATAAACTCTGACCTTGCAACCTTGTAAAGGCATTATATGATTGGTGAGGTAACATTTTGATTTTAAACTTAAATATAAAACTTAAAAGAGAAAATTAATCAAAATTTGGTCTTTGGGTTTTATGAGAAATAACAATTATAAGTAATTGCTTGTATTATAACAAGATGAAATATGAAAGACAATCATTTATAAATTATATGAAAACCTGAATCTAAGCACATGACCAGATCAGAAATATGATCAGTGCCAGCATTTTTTGGAGTTTTCTAAAAGAATATCAGCTTTCTAGCTATTTTACAATCAAGCATGAATAATTTATTTAGACTAATAAATAATATAAGTAATTTACATGCTTTATCAGATCTTAAATCAATTCAGAAAAGCATAGCTGACTCTTACAATCAAAAAATAATAAATAGGAATTTATGTCTTAATACGAAATCACTGATATTTATGTATACATACTCACTATACAAAATGATATAATAGGCCATCAATAAAAATATCTTTGTTTCCTGTAATAACCTGACCGACCCTTGATTAATTTGACCTGTAGAGTGTATTGATGTCATGGGCCAACAATTCAAAGAACATATTTTTATAAGCTTTTTTTTAGCCGAGAACATCAAATTACAAAAAAATAATTTTGAAAATGAACCTGTTAATAGAATGACCAACATGGGTGTCGTGATGACAAAATTCAACCACAAAAACTTGTTGGCGTATAAAAAATAAACTGTTCAACTGAGCCATAGTTTACAACATAGGTAGGATTTGAGGAAACAAAAATAATTTTAAGGATAGTCTTGGCAGTTCTATCTTTAAGTGAATTTTGAAAAAAAAATAAATAACTATTAGCTAGTTGTCGGTGTTGTATTTTGTAAGAACTTGAAACAAGAAATTGTACAAATAGTCTGTTTTATTTCAGTTAATCCATAATCATCCATCCATCCAGTAAATTAAAATCCAAATTTCAACTTAATGAATGCCACTTTGAATCACTGGATATTTTTGAGTGAATTTGTTTTCGATGGTGAATATTTTACAGTTTAGTTCATAACCAACACGGCCGTCCAACTTAAGGCAATTCAAATCCAAATTTCAACTAAGTGAATGCCATTTTGAATCACTGGAATCCATACTTTTAGAGTGGATTTGAAGTGTGGTTTGTATTGTGAATATTTAATCAAATTGTTAAAGTTTAATGATAACCAGCCATCTGTGCAATTAAATTCCAAATCTGAACTTAATAAATGCCACTTTGAATCATTGGATATATAGATTGAATTTGAATTGTAATGGTGAATATTGGTCAAGTTGAAATGTGAAGCTATATTATAATAAATATAAGAGGAGGGATGATATAATACTGGTAATATGTTGGTATTATGTCATGATAATGTCATGATAGAACCTGATATTTTAATTAATGATGATTTGAGCAAGGATATCGTAGTCTATGTATCACCATTTGTCATTCATACTCTAAAATCTGTTTATGGTAGAAGAGTAGATATCTGTAAAATAAATAATATATCAACACTTAATATCTACAGGAGTCTCTTTCTTTTTTATTCTGTGTTTGTTAAGATGTTAAGGGAAAGATAATGAAATGGGCTAAGTCCATCCATCCATCTTTCCAACCATGCTTTATTTCAGGAGCATGCCTCATAAATTGTTAAAGATGACTTTATGGATCTTTCTACACACATAGATAGGCCTTTTGTTAATTAAAAATTTCTCAGATCAAATCATCTCTAAATTGTTTCAATGGAACGTCCTACTTTTCGGCCCTGACTGGGCTAATGAAGACGAGCCTATGCCATGCATTGTGCTATGAGGGAAATTTTGCTAGAACAGCGGAACTATGGCCTATTCTTATTTTGAATTCCAACTGTCAAGAGTTCTTTTACAGGCATGCCAATGTGTACCAGGACTGTTATTTACATCCAAACAACTATACATTGTCCCTTGCTAGGCCTTTTGGTCTGTACTCCTGACAAGGGGGAACCAGGTCGGAAAATCACAAATAACTTTCTCTGTCAACACTGGGACCGAACACAGGACCTTCAGCCAATGTCTTACTGAGCCATCGGGACTCCCTGTTTCAATGGTGTACATACAGCCATCACTAAAACAATATAATCTCAAGAAAAATTTAATGTGAGAGTATTCGACTAAAAACTTAGGAATTCTGTCACAGATAAGTGACACAGTAATGCATGCTTGTTGTGTTGGATTACAACTTAATTCTACAGACCAAAACTGCTATTCCTAAGACTGCATGAAACTGCATGAAAAATGTAAATAGCTTTCTGTATTATAAGTCTATTTACAAGTCCGTGCAGGTGCCACAGCTGTGCATGTGACAGGGTGGTATGGGACAGTCTAGTTAGGGCAGTTTGAGATGGTCTAAGTAACAAAGGGTAATTATTACTTACCCTTCACTATTGAGAACTTCTGTTATAGTTGCTTTAGTTATCATATGATCATCACATTTAAACCATTGATCCTTATGTAAGCGTATATAACAAGTATAGTGACCAACTTCTATAGTACCACAGTGATTTACTACAGCAAACAAAGAATATCTGAAAAAAATAATCATTTTATTCACTGTTCAGACAGATTGGTTGAATAATTCCATGACTTTCCATGGTCAAATACTCAAATTCCAGGTCTTCCAGGCCTGAAATTTGCATAGGTAGAATTCCATGACATTCCAGGATTTCCAGGAAGCCTACGAACCTTGCTTTCCCATAGGGACTTTAGCTCTGCGGGAAACCAGAGAAAACCCATGAGGTAGGGCAGCGACTCTACTCCTCAGCACATACACAACACCACTTGACTGACTCAATGGCAGACCTTATCATCTAAGGCACATGCGTTAGTTCAATCACCCCCACTCCCCTGACTATTCAGAATAGAAGCAATCAAAGTATTGCTTTGAATTTTTGAAGTGGACATGCTGTACTTACTTATTATCACATGAAAGACTTGTGGGCATATCCTGTATAATTTGATTTGAAAAACCATTGTTGTCATTTCTTGAGGAGGACATGAACGGTGTCATGTCTAACTCATCGGGGAATGATACAAAAGTTGAGATCTTTTTATGGTAACCTGTGGAATGCTCAAATCTCTGTAAAATACATAAAAATACAAAAATGTATTTAACTGAGAACGAAGGCAAAATAATGTGCTTAACAAGTGAAAATTAATCGGAAGTACAGGGCATCAACTAATGAAATGAAATGGGGTTTAACGTCCTACTGTTCTGCTCCTAATCTGGGATAATGAAAACGGGCATACACCATACAGTGTGCTATGAGGGAAATTTTGCCCGGACAGTGGCACTACTGCCTACGCTTATATCGAATTCCAACTGTCAAGGAATCTATTACATGCACACCAATTTGTACACGGGATCTCATTTTCTTGTCCCATCCGAACGACTAGACAGCTGTCCTTGTTAGGCTGTCTGTCCTGCAACAACTAATGAACAGGTGAGTATTTATTAGAGCAGACAGTACCTTAAATACAGAACATTTCTATTACAAATAAAGTGTGAACAGATGTATTGAAGACAATACCTTGAGATGAAAACAGGCCACTACTGGTAATTTCTTCATTGTTAATTGTTTAGTTGATTCCTGATAACATTGACATTTACCACATTTAATTTTAGCTGAGCTTCCTAAATGTTCTGGTCGTGTGAAGCTAAAAAAAAATATGATGCATACATAATACAACAAATGTGAAATTTTGATACAGCATTAACCATGTTATGTTATTAAAGTTGCTGATTGTCATTTCTTTTTTCGGATGAATGTCTAAATTTTCACAGTTTACTCCCTATCAAAATGTCCTCAAATTGATTATTTAACATTAGGAATAAAACCACCAAAATATCAACAATGGATAATGGATTCACAAGGATCTAATCAAAATATTTTACCCAACAATTACAGGTGGTGCGGGCCTGTTAATATCACCTTCAGATAATCAAGAATGTTGCAAAATTTTCAATTCATCATATCTTTGTAAATACTGAACCGTTTATAGACTCATATTTGCTTTAAGGTAGTTTTCAGCTTTTAGCTTTCGTGATTAATATTTGTAAATTTGAATGTTCATTACAACTGTAGTGAGGAAGAGAAGAGGATATTACCGTTTTAGACACTCTAAAAGTGAGGTAGGTTCATAGTTCCCTGGGCTGTTTGTAAAACCTAGTAGAAAAAATGTTATAATTAAACACTTTGAACGACATGACATTTCGAAAATCTGACAGCTGGTCAGTACAAAGAACCCTTTCGAAATTCATGTTTAGAAAAAATAAAAGCTGGCAATGGCTATGATTACCGGTTGTAACACTATAGCAGCGTGTATTTAAATGTGTACTAATGTCAATGGTTACAGTCTGTAAAACAATAGCAGCAAATGTCAATGTTTACGACATCAAATAATGTAATAGAAGATAATTCTGCTTAATTTGAAGTTTTCTACAATAGTTTACAAGACTATGAAACTAAATGATCAAGACTATTCACTTGTTTTAAGCCTATTTAAAACAAATTTTCTGAAGACTTGTGTTAAAGAGATAAAATGGTACAACTTGCCTGTTCCCCCTGGGGATGGAGTGGAGTGTGAGCTAAAGGCAGGTGGACCTGGACCAAGATCTAATGATATATCCCATATAGGATCAATAGTGGTAGATACATTACTGAAATAAAACAAGATATACATCAACTACCAGCACCGGGTATTCAGCGCTCTTACCTTAATCTCCTATATACTCAATCTAATACAGCACCGCTCAGTCTAATAGAATACTATACTCAATGTAATACAGTAATATGGTCAATGTAATATAGTATTATGGTCAATCTAATACAGTATTATGGTCAATCAAATAAAGTATTATGGTTAATCAAATACAGTAATATGGTCAATGTAATATAGTATTATGGTCAATCTAATACAGTATTATGGTCAATCAAATAAAGTATTATGGTCAATCAAATAAAGTATTATGGTTAATCAAATACAGTTTTATGGTCAATCTAATACAGTATTATGGTCAATCTAATACAGTATTATGGTCAATCAATACAGTATTATGGTCAATCTTATATGGTATATACAGCACCATTTTAAATATAATACAGTATATTCAAGTCTGAATATAAATCTATCAATTAGGTAGTTAATATACTTACTTGCACTGCTTACATGTAACATCTGACTGAAGTCCACCAGTAAATATTTGGTCTATAATACAATTACACAGATGAGGATTACTGCAACTCATACCATTAGTACCTAAAATAGTACAATATATAACAACTAGGCGTCAAACATCTCTTTATCATATATATATATATATATTACTTTATTATATGATGTACGTTACAATGAATAAGATGAAATAACCATTCTGTGTTCTACACACAGGATAAGTTGAATGCAATTAATATGTGGCCAAGATCAAGCTTGGTTAATTTTCAAATAATGAATCGCATGTTATCACCTCTGTGAGAAAAAGCTGGATTTATCTAAAGGCTTGGTAGGCTGAAGCCTATGACCTGAAGATTCAGCTGTTTAATATTTTTGACACTGTCATAAGTCATTCTTATATGCACTGTGGTCTTAGATATCTGCCATTATCCTCGGCTTTGTTCAATTGTGTTTAAAACACACTCTCATCTCCACTAGTCACAAGAGTGGAGGGTTTGGAGCGGCCTCATAAGTGGAATAGCATAGGGCCTCTCTTCATCTAAATCCAGAACGACCGTGAGTGCTTGAATTTAGCATCTATTTCACTAATTCTGTTGGATTAGGCAAGTTACTAGTAGATGTATATCAAAAGCTTGGTTAATAGGAAAATGAACAGTAAATGAAATATATACCCAAGTGAAAATTAGCTGCAATACCTTTGCAATGTCTATGTAGTACATCTAAAGCTGCAATAAGAAATTCATGAGCATCTTGTTGTTCATATCCTGCCAAATGTCGAGCATTGGTCCACACTAGGTGCAGCAGTCTATAGGGTATATGTGGTGTACATACACCTGAATAAAACTACAAAAAAATACAATAAAATATTATAATCCATCCAGAGGTTATTTTAGGAAATGAGTGACATAATTTCATAATTTATGATGCAAAAATGATAAAATTCGGTAGGGCACCATTCCCTTGATTTGATATTTGTTGCAATGTCTGTGTAATTTGTCTTGTCTGCAAGTTTGTCTTATCAGTTTTGTTTTACGAGTAGTGTGGTCCTCCTGCACTTACTATACCCAAATGAACAATCTCAACAAGCCTGGCCAAATGTTTTTACATTCATAATGTGAATAGCAATCAGCGATACACTTATAATCAATAACCAAACCACAATCAGTAGAGTTCAAAGTCCACACAGAACTGCAAGATTTTTTATTGTGTAGAGCATTCCAATGTACAGAATATGGGTTAACTGAAAACACATTTGACTTCTGCTTAAAATAATCGGCGCATCTATGCATTTGTTAGGATTCAGTTATCCAGTTTGTATATTAACAAATTACAATGAAGTTTTTATACACGTTTGTTTATTTATGCAACATGCAATGACTTTTGTTGACAGTTTTATTGAAGTCCCCTAATATTCCAGAAGTATCTCTGATATTCAAGCTGGGTGACTTTAAGTCCTCCATAAATTTTTAGTCCAACTTAAACCCTGAATTTCTGTGATTGGGAAAGATAAAATTAATAAAATAAACAATAACTTACTTCCTGAAAGAGTCGTGCCATTTCGCACACAAGGCACTGTTTGGATTCTCCAGGCATTTGGCAAGTATGGCGATCAGCAAGAAAAAAATCCCGTAATATTGGAGTGTGAGTGAGGGCTTGAACAATACAGTTCATAAAACATGTATTTCCTAAATTGATTAATCCTCGTAACCCTGAAGAAAATACATAAATATAATTATATAACGGATCAAGAGCAGATAAATCTTAAAATTATATTTGACTTCAATCAGTTGGAATGAATCAAGACTAGGTTTGAAATTTCATTATTGGTTTTTCTCAATCTAATTAAAAAATAGATCTATATTTCGTTTCGTTTTTTATACTTTCGATGGCCTACACTACATGTAGATCTAACAAGTTATAGTGGGAGTTCACATTCTATGACGTCAGGTACCAAGCAAGCGACATTTGACCCGATTACGCCAGTCATTCGATTAACCAAATAGCGACCGCCATGTATTTTTTATCTGCTTTTGCTTTGTATTGATTTCTATTGCCGCTAATGTCTACCCACAGTTCCGCGCAAAAAAGGTACACTGATATAAGGGCTTCCCACCCTTTTGATGGTTTCCAAATGATTGTCTCTGATTGTATACATGTATAGATGTTTGTCTTTGTTCCATATTTTGTATATACATCTTCAGTGTACCATGGTTGTCATTCTTTGCTTGATAAAGACGGGAGAACTCTCATTGAAATGTCGCTAAATAAACTCTTCAAGTAACTTGTATTCCATATAATTGTGTCATGTGTTATTCTCATCCAGTTACTAAATGCAAACAATTGATAACTTAGCTCAGCTCAAAATAAAGTAATTTGAATGAAATTTTCCATATATTCATTTTGCATTATCTATTTTTAAAATATATAAGAGTAGTTATGAAGACCTGGTTATCCGAAGTGTCAATGACTAGTTCGTTCGTATTGAAATCTTTAGACTGATTGGCCTCAATCGAATGACAATCTCTAGCGCCTGGTTATTCCAGTCTACACCAAAAGTATTTATTGCGCATGCTCTCCATCACCGTTTGACAGGACTTGTGGAATATGTCTAGCCTTGTTCTTCGAGTCCCTTGTTTGAAATATTATACTTATAGCAAGAAATGAAATGAAATGAAATGGGGTTTAACGTCCTACTGTTCTGCTCCTAACCTGGGCTAATGAAGACGGGCATATGCCATACAGTGTGCTATGAGGGAAATTTTGCCCGGGCAGCGGCACTATCGCCTACTCTTATATCGAATTCCAACTGCCAAGGGATCTTTTACGTGCATTCCAATGTATACACGGGACCTCGGTTTTTCGTCTCATCCGAAGTACTAGACAGCTGTCCTTGTCAGGCCCTCCGTTCTGCATCACTGACAAGGGGGAACCACGACGGAAAATCTGGATGAACTTTCTCGGCCAATGCAGGGATCAAACACCCGACCTCCAGGCTAGCGAGCCAGCGCCTTACCCACTTAGCCACGTGGTCCCCACTTATAGCAAGAACGGCCAGCTATTTATCAAAACCTTACATAATGCCCCTTTAAATATATCATGAAATTTTGATGATCTATTTCTTTCAATCCTTATTTCCAACACAGATCTTTGCCTTTCCTCATTTAAACATTGTGTAACTGGACATCAGTTATCCGCTTCCTTTGCCCATTGCTATTTCAAGGTCGCAATGCCAGGTAATAAACATTCTATACTTGTAACTATGGTCACTATTTACTGAGCCTATTTCAACCCGGTTCTAATAAAAGAAGGGAACAACCGGGTCTCACAGACAGTTTGTTCTATTAAAGAAGGGAACAACTGGGTCCCACAGAGAGTTTATCTTGTGTGTGTGTCCAGGCACCGCGTAATGAAATGGTGACCCGGCCCCACATAATTAAAAGGTAAATAGTTTATTTGGTACTAACCAACTGTAGATTTGGCATCAACCTTTCTTCTCTTTGGATTTTTCTTCAAAAGTTGTAATTCATCTTCTGATGGTTCCCAAGAAGAAAATGGGTCTTTTAGATCTAAACTCAGAAAATGTATTAAATCAGGTATTGTCTATTCAAATTGTTCATATCAAGAATCCCAGGCTAAACCTAAGACCAAGATATTTCGCCAGGATGGTATTTTTTTGTGGTCATATCTACCAAAAATGTAAACAGTGCTTGTTCAATTCATTAAAGTTACAATTTCATATTTTCTAAGAAAGTCAAAACATAATTATTTCTATGTCTTTTGCTCAATAGGTTGTCAACTCACTATTATATGATCATAGGTGTCATTCTCACACTTAAAACTCATTTACACCGGAAATAATAACACAATTACCTCCCAATTACCCCCCTTGTTTTCTATTCTCCACCATGTAGTTATCTTCAAACGTTTGAATTTGAAGATGAAAATGATATTATTGCCAATTTCTCAACTGGCAATAGTGATTAAAAGGATTATTCTTTAAAAAGGTAGGAGTGTTTATAGATACCATCTATTTTAAGGCTTTATTTTAATAAATTTTAAAAATATAACTTAAAAATATGAAATTGCAACTTTAGGGCATTCAAGAGAATATGATTTTATAACCATATTATTGCAATAATACCAGTCACAGTGCTACTAAAGGACTGTCTTCCAAAATAAATCTAAATTAAACAAGTTGCTGAAGGAAAAGCACAATAGGAGTGCCATCATTCTACAATATTTGAAGAACTAATGTTAAAAAAGCTACCAATTGAATTGACACATATTTTCAATTTTATGGACTTTGAATTCAGTTTGATATACTTTGTCATCCAGTATAAGGAATATCAATCCATTTTACAGCACCAGTCCAGTTTACATGAAAATTAGCAAAATTTTCTTACAGGATCTTTGCATGTTGGTTGAAAAAAATATTTTCGATTTGATGTGATTTAAAAGAGATTCCAAACAGATTGAAGCATTCTAGTGGTTTTCAATAAATTGTTCTCGATAGAGAGAGAAATGGTGTTTAATGTCCACACGACACAAACTAGGTCATTTCGAGAATAACATATGGTTCAATTTTATTTGAATAATTCACTTGTGCATAGGGGTCTTTAGCAGTGGGAGGAAACCGCAGGACCTGGGGAAGACCCATGAGGTTAGACAGGCGATCCTACACTTTGTCATGTACAAGTGGGGAATCAAAACCACGCCATTTGACTCAATGACAGACCTTACGTTTCACAAGCACGCATTAAACCACTAGATCACCCAACCCCCCCCCCGACTGACTGGCAGTGAAATTCACCGCTTGGCAAGGTTACCTGTCAGTAAATTAACATGCCACGAAATTCGAATTTCAAAGATGTTAAACTTAAAACACGGTACACAGTTAAAATCAGAATTTTTATGTGAAAAATCACTTAAATATGTAGCTATTTAAAAAAAACAACAATATCTTGATAAACTGATGTAAACAAAATATGTTAAAAATTTTGAAGTGAAAGCCCTGATTTACTGCTTGGGACCTTAAATAATTAGGCGAGTTGTTAGTTATCTTAAAGATACATTATGGGAGATTTTTATAGAGAATTGGCCATTCTTGCTATAACAGTTCAAAAGTAGATGATGAAAGAAGAATATATTGAAAATTTCAGTCAAATTACTTTATTCTGAACATAGTTATCATCGTTGTAATATTTGACTAGAAATGGTAGTGAAATGTGCCTTCACCTTGGCTGATCGTTTGATTGACAGGCGTTAACTCCACCTACATATCTTGATTATCAAGTAAAGTTTTCAATGGCATGCGGAAACGCTCTACAGCGGCCTCACTAATTACACTATCATTTAGCCTCGATCTAACTGACGTATTCTCATCAGGATGCGCCATATTTGAATTAATTAATAAGTGAAATCCTATTTAAATCCGAGCTGTAACCGAGCCATCCGTGGGTCTACAGAGTTGATTTTGGGCTTGTTTAAATAAAGATCTAATTTATAATTTCTATAACATCTGAAGCCTAAATTAAGACTTGCAATAATCAGATTTTGCTCTTGCATAATGTATATTTAAATGCAATTTCACATAAAATGAATTACATTGACCTTCTTGCTGAAAGTGATGCCTCTTTAAAATTGATTTATGAATTGAGCAATTAATAAAGTAAAAAAAAGCAATACATTTGTAGTTAACCATTGTAAAGCTGCTTACACTCACTGACAAGATTTAGAGATGGCTTTTGGCTAAATGATCTGGCAATATCCTCTAAATCTTTATCATAAACATAATCTTCACAGGAAAAACATATTACAGTCCCATATGTTAAATCAATAGCTGAAATAATACATAATATATATAGTAATTTACATATTCACAAAATATAGAAACCGTCAAGTAATTAAACAATTAGCTGTGCTTAGACATGAGAAAAGTTGACCGACATCTTAACTCTTTTTACACATCAACAAATTTAGACAAAAACTGTATTTCACGAATTTTGAGAAGTATCCATCCTGCTTCCAATTCCATATTTAATGAAATTGGAACTATTTATCTATTGTTTCACTTTGTTATTTTTCGATAATCTTCTTACCCAAGTTATGTTTCTTGCCCTTGGCATGTTCATGAATATGTTTAGCACCGTAACACCCAAAATATATACAGTACATACAAGCATGAAGTCTAAGGGTGGGCTGTCGACAGGTATGGCAAACACATGACTTTGCCTGAAAATAAAAATAAAATATATGTGGTGAATTTAGTTTGTGGTAACTCTCTAACCTTCATTTATCTTCAGTCATAGTTGCAGAAAAGTAGGACGTTAAAACGATTTCATTTCTATCTTCAGCTTTTCACAGAATCCAAGTCTGATTAGGAACCAAATCTGCCCAAAAGGTTCTCCTGTGATTTGACTATACATTATTAGATATGATGTGTTATGTACTATGTGAAAATTTGATCTATTAACTCGACAGAATACTGAATATTCTTGTTTTTTGTGACACCTACTAGTTGAAATTTGTTGATGAATGACAAAGACCAAAGAGATTTACAGGTGCCCGTGTTTGGCTTTTAATAAAAGCTAATTCTTTCAGAAGCTATTGTCAGAGAATTATATTTAGTTATGATGACTACAGGATTTTGTGAGATCTGAAAGGTAATGTCAATTTTGTAATCACTGTCGATAACAAATTTTAGATTATTAGAAATTTAGACATTTATGTTACTAAATATAACACCATTTTCTTGATAAAGTACAAATGCCTCTTCAAATATGTGCGGTGTATGGTTTTTGTTTTCATTCCCTTATTTTTGTTCCTACCCAGACAATAGTGGAAACTTTCACTTCCTGCATCACCTGTAAATAAAAACTGAAATAGTCTTTTTATTTTTATCAACATTTCCTTTGTTTCAAGAATATTTAAGTTATTTTCAATGGATGGGAAACAATAATGACATCATTCAGGTTAGGGCCCTACCTTTATTATCTTTCATTTCGACCCATCATATTTTGTTGTTGAAATAGACTGGGTGAATTTGATTTTATTTTGTGGGCCAATATCATCCTTCAAATTGAGTTCTCAAAAAACGAAAGCACAATATAAAATTAACCCACGACAACGGATCAAAACAGTTGCCAAGACGTGTTCAGATGACCTTCTTTTTGTTTTTGATTGGACTGGCTGCTTTTTTTTTTAGTTTTCGCATTCATTATTTCATTCATCATTTTTACTTACCTTTATCCGCCGTGCGTCAGCTGAGGGACAAACGATAAAGTAAGAATAAATTATGCGGAAAGGATCGGTTCCTTTGGCTGCTTTAAAGGCACTTAAGTGCTGGCAGCCATGAACACTCATCTTCCACCCCTCATGTATAGGACCGGCAAAAACTTCATCACTAATTCTTTTGGTTGGGACTGAAATTGTGAAGTTTCATGCGATTCAACAAAGGTTATGCGCATTGTTTAAAGAATTGAAAGCAGTCTGCGCATTTGAATCCCGAGTTCCGTTTCCGGTTTAACAACCAGCAACTACGGTAAACGACGTAATTTCGTCTGCTATAAGAATCCCATTTAATTCATGATAAATTATTTGTAAGCAGTTGAAAGAAGCATAAAATCGTTAAAACCTATATCATCAAATATATATAAAAGTATTTGTCTAAATCAGCCAGTTACTTCGACAAGAGAAATAGCTTACAAAGCTACTTTCATTTTGTTTTGTTTTTGCAAGGCCATAATAAAATGGGCAAATGTATGACATGCATATATCTACGTTGGCATTAAAAATAAAACTTTAATGATCACTGGCATTTTCAGAAAGCTCAGATTAGGTTCTGACATACCGTGTTCCTTTGCCAGGGATCATTTTGAGACTAGTGAACAATTTTTTTTATGAACTACTATGTGCAATGCAATAGTTCTATTCTTTCGGACCTAGAAATTGACACAAATGGGTCACAACGCGTATTATAATGTACTATGAATGTACATAAACTGATTTACATTCAATCATTTCTGTTTTACTGTAATGTCTAATCAGTTACGTTTGGCAAAATATGCAACAAGTCCAAATTGAAAGGCAGTCTTTGGCATCTGGTTATTCCAGTCTACACTGGTAGTATTCATTGCTCATACGCATTGACTTATGGGATACGTTTTGCCTTGTTCATCGAGTCGCTTCATTACAAATGGTACTTGAAAACATTGTGGCACGCAATTCATGTGCCAATTTTAAATTTTTCATTTTGTCTTAAATGTTGTAGTCAAGCCCATCTTTAGTCCTATTTTTCTGTGCTGATTGGGGTAATGAAGACGGGCATACAGTGTGTTTTGAGGAAAATTTTGTCTGGACAATGACACTACAGCTTACTATTGTTTCGAATTCCATCTGTCAAGGGCTCTTTTACGTGCATGCCAATGTGTACAGCGGACCTCAGGTTTTTATCCCATCCAAACAACTAGACAATGTTCCTTGTCAGACTTGCTGTCTGCACAACTGACAAGGGGAAACCATGTCGGAAAATCCTGAGAAATTTTCTCGGCCAACACTGGGGGCAAACTCGAGTCCTGGCTAGTGAGCCAGCGTCTTAGTCACTAAGCCACTGCCGCTTCCCACTTTTTAAGAACATCATATTGTAGGTTAGTCCTTTACAGGAATTACATTGAATATCTTTCTATGTATCAAATACATTATAAGTTACATTGATTGCTCTATGATTTAATATTTTGACCTCATGGTCAGTAGGTATTCAATAACACAGTATGCAGTGGCAGGTGACTGGAAGTTTTATAGGTGGGCCAATCTGTCTTCTTGGATTGATTTACATGATATTAAGACACAGAAAAAGAGTTAGCATTAAAGATAAAGTAGTACTAATTACAGGTTCAACATCGGGGCTAGGAAAAGGTACATTTACAATTTTAGTATATTCTTAATTAGATTTAGAACTGATTTTTTTTTTCAAATTCATAAAAATGTTAGAGAAATGAGTTAATGTGTAGTAAGCAAACGGGTGTTCAATCCCTTCATTGACCGAGGAAGTTCATCCAGATTTTCCGGTGTGGTTTCCACTTGTCAGTAATGCAGGATGGAGGGCCCGACAAGGACAGCTGTCTAGTCGTTCGGATGGGACGGACAACCAAGGTCCCGTGTACATATTGGCGTGCATGTAAAAGATCCCTTGGCAGTTAGAATTCGATATAAGAGTAGGCCGTAGCGCCGCTTCCCAGCAAAATTTCCCTCATTGCACACTGTATGGTGTATGCCCGTCTTCATTAGCCCAGTGTAGGAGCCGAACAGTAGGACGTTAAACCCCATTTCTTTTCATTTCATAATTCTCTTATATTTTCATTGACAGCATTGAAGTAGCTACATAAGTAAAACTCATATTTTCTCTTAATAGCTTGTGCAGTAGCCTTTCATCAAGCTGGATGTCGAGTTATCTTAGCAGGAAGAAGTTTGGAGAAATTAACAGAAGTAAAAAAAGATTTAATATCTAACTTTAAAGTAAGTCAACCATTTTCAGTTTTTTGTAATTTGTCCTTTAAATGTTCTACAACTCAAAAATTGAAATTGAGGACATCTGACTGTTTTTTGACGTTTCTTTTTTTCCAGAGCCAAAATGAACCAAAAATTGTGACTTTAGACCTGGAAGATGAGATGAGTCCGGCATTAGCTGCTAATGAAGCTTACAGTTTTTATAATCAAGTTGATATACTAATTAATAATGCTGGTATTAGCTATAGAGGTAGAATACAAGATACATCGATACAAGTTGATAAAAAGGTTATGCAAGTCAATTATTTTGGTCAAGTGGCTTTAACAAAAGGTAATTGATAAATCAAGATTTAAATAAGATATCAAAAATGATAGACGACTTGTGCTTATTGATCACCTAAACCAGCCTGAATATAAATATTTGGACGTCATCCATCCACCCAGCTTAAACATGTTACAAATAGAATGGAACAGGGTTTAATGTCTTGTATATGCAATACTTCAATCATTATGAGACTAACATAATTTTTTATTTTAATTAAACTGCACGGCACCAGAGGATTTGTTCATAACAAAGCCTGATAATTTCAGTGACAGGTCGCTTAATTTCTGACTTGCATTTTATTAATGAGTATATTGTCTAGATTTCTGTTTCAGGTATATTACCAAGAATGTTAGAATCTGGTAATGGTGGCCATATAGTTGGTATAAGTAGTATTCAAGGCAAAATATCTATACCATATAGGTCTGCATGTGAGTATAAAAGTGTCTTTTACATTCTTGTGCAATTTAAAGAGTTTGTGTTAAATTGGTGAAGTTTTGAATAAAAGTATGTAAAAGTGGTCCTCGGCTTAGTGTGAGTTTTTGTTATCTGATCTCTTAAATTATTGGAGTGCTTTGTTACTTACAGATTATGATGAGGTTGCCATAAAATATTCAAACATAAAAAGTTTGTACTTAGTACTTGAAATAGTAACATCTTTGTTTTGATCAATTAGTTGTGGGAGAGGAGTTATACATAGGCTAAGCCTGTTTCACAATTCCATTCAGATATCCTAAATAAAAATAAAGCATAAGTTGTGAGATGCATAATTATGTGATTACGGTTTACTTTTATTTTTCAGATTCTGCTTCAAAACATGCATTCCAGGCATTTTGTGATTGTTTACGGGCTGAATGTGCTGATAAGAATATCAATGTGTCAGTTATTAGTCCAGGCTATATAAAAACAAGCCTTTCACTAAATGCTGTTACAGGAGATGGCAACAAATACGGTGGTAGGTCTTTAAGAATTAAATACACATATATTATAAATAAAAAGAAAGGTTTGATACTTGAAAAAGGGCTCATTTGTGTAACACCACTAAATTCAATACATTATTGGGAAGGACCATACATATTACATTGCTGTACACGGATTGATTGTTCACACAGGCCTGGATAAAATGGCTTTATTGTTGTACCTGACATTTTGAACTTTGTGCCTGACAAAGCCTGAATTTTTCTGTGACAGGACCTTAATAACGGGATAATGGTGATCACATCTCATGTATTATTTTTAATTTGGTTTTATGAAGTTAATTGATATTTCATTTTAGTCATGGATAAAACAACTGAAAATGGTATGACACCAGAATATGTGGCACAGCGAGTGCTAGAAGCTGTCATGTATCAGAATAATGATGATATTTTATCATCAATCACTCCTAAAATAGCTGTTTATTTACGAACAATAGCTCCATCGGTTTTCTTTTGGTTAATGAAATCCAGGGCTAGAAAAGGACAGAAGGATTACACCGAAGAATGAAATCATCAGTATAACTGTTAAATGGAATTACCTCCCTTGCTATTCATTTAAAATACTTTTTGTACATTTTTATGCCTTTCAATAAACAAATCTAATTATAAACGTTGTCATTATATTATATCTTTAATTCTTAGCAATTCACAATAAATCTTGATAAAATTACGAACAGTCATGCTTTTATAATGAAAATAAAATGTATATACAGGATAGTTAAAAATATTCAGTGCAATCTGTATCACAATTAAAACATAAAAGACAGTTTAGGTAAAAACCAACTCCTAAAATGAATTTTAAAAATTAACCATTCAAAATTATTCTTGCGTAATTTGGCATTACAACACATAATGTCAGTAAAGCCACACGAACACTCATCAGCAATTATCACAATCATCCAATCATTGAAAATACCATTTATGAATTTTTGAGCCACAATAGGCACCAGCTGCTAATGATACTGTAGTGTGCAAAACTTTTCTTCTGAAATCATTTTTCTTGACTAATACCACTGGTGTTGAAGTAGTTAAACTGTGTAAAGGTAATCTAGGTAATTTCTTTATATCTCCTTCTACTTGATATTTAGAACAAGGGTCTGTTTGCCAGGAAATTGTATGCACTGCAGCACAAATCACACTAACGGCACCCAGAGGTAAAAATAAATAACCTCGATCAGGCCATGTCCCACCACAGATAAGTGAACCTAATCCTGCTAACACTGAAGTTTTGTGTAAAAAATTCCCAACGGATATCCATCTAGAAGTTTCATCTCCTAGTCTTGTTGGTTCTATAATTATAGTCTGAATACCTGCTTCTAAAGCTCTGTCTAATTCATATTCAAACTCCTCCTGGGCATCTTCATGTTCATAGATTTCACGGATAATTTTATACTCTGGTGCATCTCCCCCACCCCTAAAATGAAATAAAAACATGTGCTTGTTTTAGAATTATTAGTTAAATAATGCATTTGTTTAAAACAATGGTTCCCCTGCTTACAGATTTGGCATTACGATATAAATGTGTCCTATATTTACACACATGGAGAATTGTTATCAATGATAAATATTTATTATCAACAAAGTGAACAGTTCAGTTGAGTGGTCCTGATAAACAAACATAGAAGTGCATAATCAAGGCAAATTTTAGAGGATCGATCATGTGCATGTGTCACAAAAATTGTTCATAGGGCCATATTACTCAGAAGTCAAGAAATGTAAACCCTCCAATATTTCAGTCTGAATCTTGGGAAATGATACACACAGATGCATTTATTCCATGTTGCTTAATTTCATTCATACCTAAATTAAAATAGCCCTAGTATTTTACTTGTTTCAATGTCTGTAGTAAGAGTAGGAACGAGAGCCGCTCGTATTAGGCTAGAATTAGAATGAAGTTTTATACTGGTATTTTGTGATATACTAACTACTAACTATTAGTATTACTACTTCCGTCGTCCATTAAGCCACTGAAATCATTTGTTGTTGTTCTTAGTGTTTAACGTCCGCTTCCACCAAGATGATATCGCAGACAAGTTGTCTTTCCCGTGGGAGGAAACCAGAGTACCCGGAGTAAATCCACGAGGTTGAGATGGCGCCCCTATCTCCAAGCCACATACACTCACAGTCTCAAATGGGATCGAAACCATAACATAGAGGTAACCGGACAGCTAGAGGTCGAGGCGCCTCACTCTAGACCACTACTCACTAGGCCATAACAATCCCCCTGAAGTCATTTACAACTCTATACACATTTATAGTGTTCTGACCTGATACTGTCAACAAAAACCAAACGAACTGCAGTTATTCGTGCAGATCGCGAATGACTGCAAAAAAAGGCGACTACAAAAATAGTGATGATTCAGCTATACAAATCAGCGTACCCCACTTAAATAATACACTGTACGTCTGGATACTAAAAGGACCAATAAATGCGTTTCAATTTACGATTTTGCATCGGTGATAAATGTTTGAAATCCGGCAAAATGGAGTCAAATTTATGAAGACAAAAATTTCACCTGTGCGGATAGTCCGCCATTTCTCTCGATCAAGACCGGAGGACCAAGGGAGATAATTCAGAAAGGACCTTTTAAAAGTCATTACGTACACACAAGATTGTTTGCAGAGCAAACTCGTACACTTACTGACTAATTGCACATTTTGATCCGACATACTCTTGTTATGAATTAAATGAATGCATAGGCCAAAATTAGTACGGTAAACTAAACAAAACAATTAATCGTATAACCATAACTGGAAATCATAGAGATTTTGTTTCTTTTGGAACATTCCTTATTTTAGAGTACCTGTAATTTGCCAATCCATTTTTATACGCCCACATTTTCATGTGGACGTATATTGTCGTCGCCCCTGTCCGTCCGTCCACAATTGTTTGTGAACAGTCTACAGGTCACAATTTTTATCCGATTTCAATGAAACTTGAAATATAGGTTTATCTCCCTAAAATCTCGGTTCCTTTCGATATTGGCATGTACCGGACCGTAACTTCATGGATTATGGCCCCTGATTGTACGAAAAATCACGTTTTCTAACATGTGGACCCTATAGAGGTAACAATTTTTATCCGATTTTGTTGAAACTTGAAATGTAAGTTTATAACCCAAAGATCTCACTTCCTTTCGATATTCGCGCATATCGGACCGTAACTTCATGAATTATGGCCCCTGATTGTACGCAAAAACGCGTTTTTTGGCTTGTGGACCCTATAGAAGTCATAATTTTTATCTGATTTAAAAAACCGTGTTAATATATCACCGTTACACCATAAGGACGGCTGAGTTCGAATTTCGTGAAAATCGGCCCAAAACTGACAGACAAAATGGCCGCCGTTCGTTCTCAAATAGCATAAAAATATGGTATATCAAGGTTGTGGACCCTATAGAGGTCACAATTTTTATCCGATTTTGTTGAAACTTGAAATGTAAGTTTATAACCCAAAGATCTCAGTTCCTTTCGATATTCGCGCATATGGGACCGTAACTTCCTGAATTATGGCCCCTGATTGTACGAAAAATCACGATTTTAGCTTGTTGACCCTATAGAGGTCATAATTATTATCCGATTTAAAAAATCATATTATTATATCACCGTTACACCCTAAGGACGACTGAGTTCGAATTTCGTGAAAATCGGCCAAAAACTGACAGATAAAATGGCCGCCCTTCGTTCTCAAATAGCGTAAAATATGGTATATCAGAGGTTAAAACTTGAAATGTAAGTTTATAACCCAAAGATCTTGGTTCCTTTCGATATTCGCGCATATCGGACCGTAACTTACTGAATTATGGCCCCTGATTGTACGAAAAATCGCGTTTTTAGCTTGTGGACCCTATAGAGGTCATAATTTTTATCCGATTTAAAAAAACGTATTATTATATCACCGTTTCACCCTAAAGACGACTGAGTTCAAATTTCGTGAAAATGGGCCCAAAACTTACAGACAAAATGGCCGCCCCTCGTTCTCAAATTGCGTAAAAATATGGTATATCAAGGTTGTGCACCCTATAGAGGTCACAATTTTTATCCGATTTTGTTGAAACTTGAAATGTAAGTTTATAACTAAAAGATCTTGGTTCCTTTCGATATTTGCGCATATCGAATTGTAATTTCCTGAATTATGGCCCTTGATTGTAGGAAAAAATGTGGGCGTATCCTGCCTGGCAGCCGCTGGTTGTTTTGTGTTAGGCCCTAGGCAGATGGAGTCATTTAGAAATTCAGCAAAAGACAAAGGCTGATCATGGACCTTATAAGGTCCTTGGGTTGATTAACTTTTAGAGATTTTCTTAAGGGTCCCAAAGTGTGTTTTTTACCTATTTTCCTAAAATCTTGGACAGGATATATGTGTGAATGAAAATTTGAAAAGGGGCCTGACTTTGAACAGTCCCAGTTTAATGAAAATTATCTGCAGAACTAATCCTGTATCATTTTGAACAAAGACAGATTTCCATCCCACAAAACTAAATAATCGACAGTTTTATTTTTAAAATATCCAATAGGTACGGATTACATTTTCAAACGAATAATATTTTGTCAATTCTAGCCAGAATTAAAAAATAAAAGCACCTTATCCTTCCAAAAACAGTTTTTTTAAAGCTACTTCAAGATATTGGACAGTCAGGGCTTTTTTTTAGCTATAAAATCTAACTTCATAATCCATAATACTAGAGTGGGTGCTTAAAACCCCTTCCACGCTAGAGGACAGGCTGGGGATCGGGGAGGGGGGCACCCGGCGCACGCCCCCTCCCCCAAGCCCGCCAATTTTTTTGCGGTGGCGAACAATGTTTTGCCTCATATATTCTCGCGGGAAAGGAGAACAAAAATACTTAAAAATGGTAGTGATCCCCTTCGTAAGTCGGCGGTCCCCGTGTCCTTGTGCCCTGTCGTGTCCTTGTGTCATTATGCGCCCTTTTATGCCTACAAAGCATCTTCAGCTTCTGAAATCTGTTGTTTTTTTGATCCCCGGCCCCTGAGCAGCTGAGTTATACTGCCCTCCACACCTGCCTGACTGGTTCAACAATGGACTCGTCTCCGTCACCTGTGTATAGGGTATTGAACGACTCAAATTTCACGTATGAACGAAAGGAGATATAAATAATCACTTCTTGTTTAAACACTTCACTCATTTAAGATGAAGGGAAGTTCATTAAAATTTGCTTAAAAAACGGTGACAACGCACGGTCCATCCGATTATGACAGAGAAACGATCTCAGCCGATGCGATTCAAGCCCCCTACCTTCTCCCCAGAGCCTCGTCTAAGGATTTGGTCGTGCGCGGCAATGTCCGGCGAAGCCCGAGCCGCGAGCACCGTTGGTTGCGAGCCGCGCGAACACCGTATTAACGCATTGGTACTGTTTTTTGTCCACAGAGATATTCATCTCGATTATGACAAAATCATCGACAAATATGCTCGAAAATATCCGAGACGTATTCTGTTTGTGAATCCATCCACTGAGGGATTTGACTGGGTGAATTTTGGATGTGGTGACATGGACGCTGAAATGAACCAATCTTCATCAATTGTTGATTTATTTCGTTTGATGACATGATCTCTGGCGCGATACCATTTTTATACGCCCACATTTTCATATGGACGTATTATGCCGTTGCCCCTGTCCGTCCACAATTTGTTTGTGGACACTCTACAGGTCACAATTTTTATCGGATTTCAACAAAACTTGAAATATAGGTTTATCTCCCTAAAATCTCGGTTCCTTTCGATATTGGCATGTACCGGACTGTAACTTCATGGATTATGGCCCCTGATTGTACGAAAAATCACGTTTTCTAACTTGTGGACCCTATAGAGGTAACAATTTTTATCCGATTTTGTTGAAACTTGAAATGTAAGTTTATAACCCAAAGATCTCAGTTCCTTTCGATATTCGCGCATATCGGACCCGTAACGTCCTGAATTATGGCCCCTGATTGTACGAAAAATCCCCCCTTTTAGCTTGTGGACCGTATAGAAGTCATAATTTTTATCCGATTTAAAAAAACCGTTTTAGTATATCACCGTTACACCCTAAGGTTGGCTGAGTTCGATTTTCTTGAAAATCGGCCCAAAACTGACAGACAAAATGGCCACTCCTCGTTCTCAAATAGCGTAAAAATAAGTTATATCAAGGTTGTGGACCCTCTAGAGGTCACAATTTTCTTCTGATTTTGATGGAACTTGAAATGTAAATTTATAACCCAAAGATCTCGATTCCTTTCGATATTCGTGCATATCGAAATCGTAACTTCCTAAATTATGACCCCTGATTGTACGAAAAATCGCGACCCTATAGCGGTCATAATTCTTATTCGATTTAAAAAAAAGTTTGAATATATCACCGTTATACCCTAAGGGTGGTTGAGTTCGAATTTCGTAAACATCGAACCAAAACTGACAGACAAAATGGCCACGCCTCGTAGTCAAATAGAGTAAAAATATGGTATATCAATGTTGTGGACCCTGTAGAGGTCACAATTTTAATCCGATTTTGATGAAACTTGAAATGCATGTTTATTACCCAAAGATCTTGGTTGCATTCGATATTCGTGCATATCGGATCGTAACTTCCTGAATTATGGCCCCTGATTGTACGAAAAATGGCGTGTTTAGCTTGGGGTCGCTCTAGAGGTCACAATTATTATCCGATTTAAAACACTGTTTGAATATATTACCGTTACACCGTAATGAAGTTTGAGTTCGAATTTCGTGAAAATCGGACCAAAACTGCCTGACAAAATGGCCGCCCCTTGTACGCAAATAGTGTAAACATCTGGTATATTAAGGTTGTGGAGTGTGGACCCTCTGGAGGTCAAAATTTTGTGCCGATTGTGATGAAACTTGAAATTCATGTTTATAACCCAAAGATCTTGGTTGCTTTCGATATTCGCGCATATGGGACCGTAACTTCCTGAATTATGGCCCCTGATTGTACGAAAACTCGTGGTTTTAGCTTGAGGTCCCTCTAGAGGTCACAATTATTAACCGATTTAAAAAAAACGTTACACCATTATGATGGCTGAGTTTGGTTGCATTCGATATTCGTGCATATCGGATCGTAACTTCCTGAATTATGGCCCCTGATTGTACGAAAAATGGCGTGTTTAGCTTGGGGTCGCTCTAGAGGTCACAATTATTATCCGATTTAAAACACTGTTTGAATATATTACCGTTACACCGTAATGAAGTTTGAGTTCGAATTTCGTGAAAATCGGACCAAAAATGACCGCACAAAATGGCCGCCCCTTGCGCACAAATAGTGTAAATATATAGTATATCAAGGTTGTGGATCCTCTAGAGGCCACAATCGATTATGATGAAACTTGCAATACATACTTATAACCCAAAGATCTTGGTTCCTTTCGATATTCGCGCATATTGGATCGTAACTTCCCGAATTATGGCCCTTGATTGTACGAAAAGTCGCGGTTTTAGGATGTGATCCCTCTAGATGTCACAATTTTTATCCGATTTAAAAAACGTTTGAATATATCACTCTTACACCCTTATGATGGTTGGGTCCGAATTTCGTACAAATCGGACCAAAACTGCCGGACAAAATGGCTGCCCCTCGTACACAAATATTGTAAATGTATGGTATAACAAGGTTTTGGACTCTCTAGAGAGAGGACACTATTTTGATCCGATTTTGATGAAACTTGAAATACAATGTTTATAACCCAAAGATCTTGGTTCATTTCAATATTCATGCATATTGGATCGTATCTTCCTGAATTATGGCCCTTGATTGTACGAAAAATCACTTCTTTTTTTGAGCTTGTTCTCTGTCCATCTCTTGCAAAATGTGGGCGTATCTTGCATGGCAACCGCTTGTTTAGGGAATGCGGCATCAATAATCACACCTCAGCTGGTAGGTAGGTATAGGTACCGAAACTCATGTTGCTAAACTAATTAAGTCAGTTTAGGATGGAAATAATAATTTACTCCGAAACGAGCCGGTTGGTGACTTGGTTGACTGCCCGTCAGTCCGCCCACCGAGGGCCGGGCTTCGCACTCCGAAGTGGGGGCAGCACGCCCCACCCCCCCTTTCTGAAAATCCCGGATCCGCCACTGGAGGAGTTTGGGATGTGACCGCCCTGTGCTTTGTTTTACAATTGTGAATTTACCTAAATATAATACCCCCCACCCTTTCAAATAGTACCAAGCTAAGAGCGCGCAATGTTCACTATATATAATAGGTTTTGCCCCACTGCTTCTTTGGGGTTTTTTTACGATTCAGTGGGACATTTTTTGTCCACAGAGGGGCATTATCACAGACTATGTTTTGTATAAAAAGTGAGCAGTGAGCAATTGCAATGTTTGGGGAAATATATAAACCAGACACATATAGATATACTGTTATCGTATACGAATCAGTGGAATATATATATCGGTAAATTAGTTTAATAAGCAATCCTTTTGTCAGCAACGGTCTGCTTTCTGAATGCTTTCTATTTTAGTTTGAGAAACTATCGACCTGTTTTTATCATAGCCTAATTTAATAAAATCAATACTGGCTTGCTTTTATTTGTAATTTTATTCACCGATCAATCAAACGACATATATTCATTTCATTTACAGTTCAAAGATATTGAACCATTAAGTCAACTCTATTTTAATAGCATATTATATGACACAATTAAGACTCTGCTGACGTCGACTTCTAAAACCATTAGGAAACTAAACAGCTATAAAAATAATGATGAATTTATATGATATTTTGTGAAAAGGAGAATATGTTTTCACAATTTTAATGAAAGACGGACGTCAACCATTCCATGATGAGGATAATGTTGCCTGGACAGCGGCGTCTGTGTCAACTCTTCACCGAATTCCAGTTGCCAATGGTTCTTTTATATGCACAGATGGACCTGGTTTTTCTTCCCAAACGATTACACTTTTTTTCCGTCTCAGCCCCCCCCCCTCCCTAATAAGGGGAGGCTAAGCTGGAAAAACTAGAGCAACATTCTCGGCCAGCATCGGTATCGAGCCAGGTCCTTCCGCAGTTAGTGAGCCAGTGCCATCTTACTGAGCCACCGAGGCCTCCATAATTCTGATATTGAAGTAAATAGATAACTTCATTCCGGACATTGAAGTCATGCAAATCAAGCCTCATCACCCTTTTAACACTTTTGTGAGAATGCCGCCTTAACTCGTATATCTCTACCCACTTCCACTATCCTCTTCCATACCTTTCATTACTCCACCCATTTGCAATTTCTGCGTGTAGTCTGATAGGGGTAATTTACCATTCACATCCTCGTGTACTGTGACAAGGATAATTTTTGTTTATAACTTATTCAAAGCTATTTTGTCCCCAGACATCTCTCTCTCTCTCTCTATAATAATCAAATTTATTTTCTTTAAAAGAGATAGCATGCAATTTGGCGATATTGCATTTCTACATATCTTCGATTTTACAGATTACAAAGTGAAATTTATGGGAGTCTCCGATATTCTCAGTTGGGATGTTAATAAGCAAAATAAACAAGGCGTTTGAGATTATGTCATTATGAATAGTCTCTTATGTATAATATCACCGCTTACATTAAAGTTATCTGAAATTTTATTTATTTGTCTAGAATTACATAAGGATATTTAGATCTATTCTCTCAGATGATAAATTATAGCATTGCACGCAAGAACATAGTCTCTGAACATTTCCTAAATTTCTCCTTGATAAGTCAAAAAAGAGAAAAATTCCAATAATTGACACCCTTCAAGGTTAGAATGCGGTTTCTGGTGAAATGAAATGAAATTGGGTTTACAGTCTTGCATTTCTACACTAACCGGGATAATGAAGACGTACATACGCCATCCAGTGTACCAAGTGGGGCATTTTGCCTGGACAGCGGCGCTATTGCCTACTCCAATCTGTCAGGGGTCTTTAATATGCAGCTATCCCCAACGCCGGGGAAAACAATATATGGGAAATCACGCATTATAAACATAAACAAAGTAAAGAAAAACTAACCGTATGTTAGTCTCAAAATTTTGACAAGACGACGAATTCGTTAAGGAGGCTATATGCAGAATGAAAGCTACAAGTATATGGCCTTCACACAGATGGGAAACATGTTAATCATTATAGTCTGAATGAAATAGAAGTTATTAGCTGACATAGCTGCCAGATGAAAAATGCAGGTTAGGATTTGCGCAGTTTGGTTACTTAAGTGCGTTTTTCACCTTCTAGAACATTTATTTATTGCTATCTTATATAGTTATGTTCTTTCATTATTATTAAAGTGGAAATATAACCTAAGAATACATATGGAAAAATAATGTACCTCTCCTCTAGGCAAATTGCTTATTACTAGAAAAACGCTCAATAAATATCAAATAAAAGGACTATGAGTGTAACAAGTCATCTCTAAATAAATTGTATAAATAAATTGCAATGATAAAATGTATTTGATGTTTTAAAAGCACGTTATATTAGATTAATATTTATATTATATTAGATTTCACAAACAAGGGGCATAAATCTAAGAGTTCTCATCAGAAATCACTGGAGTTCAAATACGCATCTTCCTCTTAGAGATCAACCAACTTTTACAATTTCATAATCACCCAGTGACAGTTGCGACAAATGGAAAACGAGGTTTCGTTATCAAGGGCCATAACTCTTAGGTTGTCTTATTAATAAATTTTCGACGGAAGGGTGGACAGGGTGACGACAGTATACAATATGGGCCTATAGAAAGAGATGATCGTGTTTTATCAGTGGTAACTTGAAGTCCCAAAATGCAAGAAAAAGATCAAATACAATTATCCAATTTGATCAGTTATAGGCCTATGGCAATTTGAATTTCACACCGCTATCTTGTTCTGTCTTTATTACATAATAACACCAATTTTTACATTAAAATAATACATATTTCTTACTTTTAGGATATGTAAACGATCTATCTGGCATGTTGTGCCGTTGATGTAAACATTAGATTGTAAACTTAAACATTCAAATTTGGGGGATTTTCTTTCAATTTCGTGTAATGAGAATGTTCATTATGTTCAAATTCTGCAAATTTAAATGACGCCCATACAAAGGAATTATTCCTGGAAAAAATAGTAATAGTAAATGCACGCACAAGAACCGGATCTAGACATTTATTTATTTCATCATCATTTGCTACGTTAATAAAATATTTTTATCAGAAAAAATATTTTGGGTAAGAACAGATAAAAAGAGAAAATAATCATAACTGTCACAGACGTTGAATGCATGGGCAATATGCAGATGACACGAATGATGACAAGTAATTCCTCATCGATTTTTCTCGCCATTCATAGAGTGGAAGCCTATAAACCGACCGCGTTGCCGACTCTATTCACAGTAGAGGCTATCAAACAGCCTGGTAGACGCTATATCGTGTGATAGTGGAATACGTACACAAACAGACCGACTGAAGCTAAACCACGCGGCAATAGTAGTAATATATAAACTTTATATATAATACATATACTATTATAAAGCCTATAGCCAATCTGTATATCTACTCATTATGAGTTCCATTTGTGTTTACATATCGTGTTGATAAAGCTTTCAAAGTGTCCGACATTACAGTCAGTTTTTATTCAGTGTTGTCGTTGATTCCAGTCATCTTAGATATTCTTATCGTCTGCTGGTTACATTCTGTAGGAGACAGGAGTGTTTTTATTGTCACTGGAAGTAGACATGCCTAATTGATGTCAATCGAGTAACGACGTTATTGTAAAATGACAGGGTTATAGCTTCGAGTTAATACAAGGATCTCTGTTAAATTGTGTTTTATTATTGGCTGTTAGTGTATTGTGCGATTCTAACACCATGTCTACCATACGTAAAGCCTATATGGAGATATCAAATGGTATTCGGGGGTTGAGACTTCACAGAGAACAGAATCATAACGGCGGCATTTCTGTGAAAGAAACGTTACACAAAGCCACCAATGGCTCGCCGAATAGTAGCAGCAAATTACTACGCTCCCCCAAACCGGGAATAGTTAAACGGTTACGGAATATGAATGGCAGAGTTGGTTTAGACAATGTACGAGATCTCTTCAATGATGAACAATTCCTCACAAAATTTTTCTTTTATTTTTCGGCGGAGGAAAGAGGGACGTTAGCACAAGTGTGTAAAAAATGGAAAAGCTTTTTGTATCAGTCCAAATTCTGGGTAGACGTTACTCCAATCATATCATTCCGCAATTGGGACAAGGATCCTATTGTCCGAAGAAAGTTTTACGAGAGTCTCCAGTATCGGGGATTTGATTCTATTTGTTTACAATTGGCCACGGACGATGATCTGTTAGATTTCGTTAGTCACTTTCCACCCAGCAAGAAAAACCTTCGATCTGTTTCTATTAGGTGTTCCAATATCACCGATGTCGGTCTGGAAACTTTATTTAAGAAAATGCCTTGTATTTATCGACTCGAGTTGTCCGGTTGTAACGAAATAACAGAGACTGGCTTGTGGACATCGCTGAACGCAAAAATTGTATCTTTGAGTATTAGTGATTGTATAAACGTAGCCGACGACACCGTTGGTGCCATTTCTCAACTTTTACCTTCCTTGTACGAACTTAATTTACAGGCGTATCATGTCACTGACGCTGCTCTGGCATTTTTCAGTGCTAAACAGAGCTACACTCTTGGAGTCTTAAGGTTAAAATCGTGCTGGGAAATCACAAACCATGGGGTTGTAAATATTGTTCATTCCCTCCCAAATCTCACCGTCCTTAGCCTCTCAGGATGTAGTAAAATCACCGACGATGGCGTGGAACTGATCGCCGAAAATTTACGTAAACTGCGGATATTGGATATATCTTGGTGTCCACGGATTACAGACTCTTCTTTGGAGTACATAGCATGTGATTTGGGACAGTTGGAAGAATTAGTTTTGGACAGGTAAGGCTTTTGAATAATACCCTACCATCAAGCACCTCTTACCTCTTACAGGAGTTCAGATGTTACACATACACCTGATTGAAGCAATTTTATTTCGTTCTTCTTCTGTTGCACTGTTTTGAATGATTCCTATTATAGATTACGCGACAACAGGTAACCTATGTGGTCCGAATGCATAACGCATTTATGGCAAGAGCAAGCATGAAATAATGATACTGAAATAGACTCGCTACCAGCCATATACAGGGTTGCTATGGGTTTTTTGCTTTATGCCCACTTTAAATTACAAATATAGCATTGTTCTTTTGCTAAATGATCATAATAACAATAATATGAATGACCGAAGTCTCTTTGTTTTTGAAGTTTCTTTGTTAATCTGATTGAAAGGAGCAATTAATCGATTCGTTGGAGACAAGTATAATTGTAGAAAACATAATCGATATTAGAATTCCCTTCCATCAATATCATCTTAACTCTATATAACAAACTCTTAATCCGCTTATGGTCTTTATTGATTCTTTCACTCAGAATATAGCCACGGGTTAACATCGGAGATTGTTTGCTCAATATACTTGAGTCTGGATTCCTTGCGCCCCTGTTGGACGGCGTAATTTCATCGTAGAGATTACAGTAGTCTAGCATTCGAGTGTTCATAAGTTAATCTGCATATTACTCTATGACAGACAAAAATATATTGACTGATAACTGTATCTAAAAAAGGGAAATAATGTACAGGTCTTCGGTGAATAATGCATCCAAATGATTAAATAAAACTAAATATAAAGGAAATTGAATTGGATATCGACCTTAGCTGAGTTTTATCTATTAAGACGTGGTCTTCGTAATTGTGATTGGGTTTCTGGTATTGAAAGAAATCCTCCGGGAAACAAACCTGCTTGCAGTGCAAGGCCAACATATATTGGTTTATTAGATCAGAATGCCCCAGAACAATAAAAGGATTTTACAATCCAGTAATCACTCCTCGTAACTTATGTTTAGCTGCATTAGTACTATAGGCTCCACGGATGGATATATTCTCAAAGTAGATAGTTCTCAGTGTGCAGAATGTGTGTGAGTTAGTTGTATTTTACGCCCGCTTCCACCGACGTGATATCGCAGACAAAGTGTGCAGAATGGGATATATCGAGATACATTTAGCCTAAAAATATATTAATATTATAGAATTTCTGAAAATCCATAAATCGCTGTAGTCTAATAAATAATTGGTTGTTATTTTTTTGCAAATATGTTATTCTTTAATTGTCAAAATCTCCTTAATTTTGTGAAGAATGCCCTTTAAGATGACAGATAATACTCATCATTAGACTGATTGTTGTTGCTTAATAGAGCGTTTAGAACATCACATCAATAACCCATTGACTTTACACTATAAATAACGCAAATACCATTTGCTATTTCACATGCCTTGCCTTTGTTCGTTTCTGAAAATGTTTTTAAACTATAAAATTCAGAGAACTGATAAAGTACAAAATAATACCCAATTTTCATATACTGGAGAAATGTTGTAATATACCGCAATACGGTGGTGGCAGCTTATCTACAAAAAGTAAGCGTGTGCTGCATCATGCACAACACCCGCCACGTCACAAATAGTCGCTATGGGGAACCGATACCAATAAAGAGTCTTATGAAAGCGCAATGCCTACTGGTGACGCAACGTAGGAGCAAAATGGTTTAGGAAGGGTGGGGGACGGGGTCATATTAGAATCCTCTAAAAAAGTACGACCGTGGGTCCAACTTTTGCATGACGACACCCACAGGGGCAGTATTAGGATAGGGATTAAAAACCTTTATGTTCCGTGACTGAAAAACAGAAACACTATAGGCATGACAAAGTGTTTGGTATTTATTCCTCAATTGTGAAAAAAACATATACATGTAGTATATAATACTTCTGTTTAATATTTCTTTGTTGGTGTTAAATAATATTTGCATTTATACAGTTGAATATGATAATTATAAGATAGATCTTGTCGGAAACCGACTGGTACATAGATCATCACTGTTCTAATCAAATTTACACCCAAGCCTTATCTCTCCTTGGTGATTACAGGGAAGTCTAACAGCATAGGCCATTCGTTGCCATTAACGGCTGGTCGAACATCGCCGTATAAACCTGACATCTGATAAATAATGCATGTAAAACACCGTATATATGAGGTGTTGTGTCCATTTTGATTGTAATTCAAACTCAACCCAACATTTCTATTTAATTTACAAGAAGAGCTTAAAAGAATAAAAATGTTCAGAAGTAAGCTATAATATATTTAATAAGTGACGCTTCTTTAATGGACCCAATAATTTACGATTTGTTCCTAAAGACCCAGTAGCTATTGTAATTACAATATCATACCACGCGCCATTAAAAAAATGTCCTCGATTATTAATAATAAAACATCTACATTATAATGTCCTCGATTATTGACGATAAAACATCCACATTAAAATGGCTATACCTCGTTGTTGTTTTGGTAAAAATTGGAAACCCACCGATTATTAATGATAAAAGATCCACATTAAAACGTACGCTTCGGAACAGACACGAAGCTAGTTGACCGACCATTTTAGTTGAAATCGCTAAGTATACCTCGAGAATATTAAGATTAAGAAGTATTTATGTTTATTTAGTCATTGTGTGTATGAAAGATGTCCGGGTAAAAAGTTAAATCTTTGGCTTACTGTGTCGATAGTGGAACACAAAATCGGCTACTCCCCAAAACTGACTTTCAATGAAATCAGATTGCCATCGCACAAAACAAATCAATATATAAAATCAATTTGGTTCAAAATGTTATTTTAGACAATTGTATTTTAAGCTGTCAGAAAAAACGGTGCTATACAGGATGGGCGCATAAGCCACGATGTGTGCTATATATGAAAGAAATTGTGACTTGACAGCGGCATTTCCACATACTTTTCATCGAATTCAAACTGTCAAGTATTTTTTTACGAGCAATGGCACAAGCTAACTAATTTTTCCTAGGGCTGCGTCATGTTTCACTTTCTAGGATCGAACCCGGAACCACCGTGGCTCCCATCGAGTCTATTTTCAGCAATAAATAGTGCCATTTAGATAACGATAAATTAAAATTTGCGACTAAATGCGATTATAAATTGTAATATCATTCAGGAATTAGTTTTAATGTATCGTCTCATTAATCGATGATTATCCGTTCTACATCAGTAACGACATCACACAAAAATCAATCAGTCTTGACCTTCACAAGCATAATGTCGGTTGGTAGCGAACAAGTTAAATTATGTACGTTTTCAATGATTGAGTGAGGTTCAATGTCTCGTCAACACAATACGTCATATTGAGACTAACATGGTCATTTTTTTTATTTTCGTGTGCAGTACAAAGAAGGATAATAATAATTTTACACGGAGAGTGGCCTTTCCGTCTAATCTTCTTCTATTTGTGTACATGGGCGGGTCTCAGTTTTACGTCCCATTCTAACGACTATGCACGATTTTCTTGGCAATCCCGCGAGCCTGAAATCCGAAGACTGTCCTTGAAGAATCCTGACCCTGATATATTGAAGGATTCCAAACGGATTTGATATTAGCATATTTTGTTCGAACCTTACCGCGATACACAAACCAGCATATTAAACACTGCAAACGATGTTTGTTACTTTTTAATGGTTAACGTTAATTTTTGATTTTTTTTTTTGGGGGGGGGGTTATATTTTTGTAGAGAAAGCCGGCAAACACCTGAAATCTCCGTAGAGCATTTTTGAGACTGTTTTTTGGGGTAATATCTGTGAAGAACTGAAGATTGAAAAGTCAAGAGCATATCTTAGAATATCTTGTACGTCTGTTGTACATTATGATCAAATAAGAAACACTTGTTAAAATATTAGTCTTATCTAGGACCACTACATGATGAAGGCTATGATATTTCAATCATATGGTAAAGTTCGAGTACTTCACTATGCTTGCACATGGTATGTATACCATCCCTACAGACTTCTTAATAGATAAATAAGATGTATACAAGATACATTTAATATGTAGATTCTTTTATTAATGACACATGTAGGTTACAGAAGTCTTGACGAACTCTCAAGTTCCGCATGACCTTCCCGGTGTCCGTTAATAAACTGATGTACCGTTACATATTATCCATATCTCCATTTGGCCATTATAATGAATGAAAGATGCATTGTGTCAGAATGATTAAACCACCCGTCATGAACGTGCACGAACACGTTTTAACATCACGTTACAATGTTTTAATCAATAACTCATTGAATATGAGAACAATTATTGTACATTTCTCACTGTTCTGTGTATAAAATATCGTCATGTCAATCCTAGTGTTCTTGGCGGGGGATAAAAGACAATATAATAAATGATATATATTTAGCTTAGTTATTAATTCACAAACTTGTACTAAAACAACAAACATCATTTGTCAATTTAGAAAAAAGATCACGTCGTCTAGAAAACAATATCCGTATCCTTATTTAAATGAACAATATTACTTAAAAACATGTAATAAATAGTTGCCCACATTTCAAGGGTTTTTTTACTCTGTACGTCTAGATCGTTCACATATATCCAAAATGTCCAAAACATGTAGTATAATAATGTAAAGACTAATTAATCATGTCCGAGTATATAAAAGAATACCTTCTCGAAAAATGGGCTTTTTTGTGCGGAAAATACTGTAAAATTATTAGTACTATAATTATCTAAGACACATACAGATGTCAGTGTGAACCAATGCAAATTTCAAATGACCACAAACTGACGTTAGAGTTGATCAATTAGAATAATTTCTGTAACAGAACCCTTTAATAAACAAAAATTGGATACTATTACTGTATTTCGCTATTTCGTTCGTTTTGGTTAGATATTCCAAAATCTGCTTTATTCAATTATATGCCCAGGAAATGCTATAGTATATAGGGCTTGCCATTCTATTCTACTATTAATAAAACGATGATGCAACGCTTGTAGATGAAGGGCCT